TTATTTTATTTTATTTTATTTTAACCTTTATTTCAACAGGCAAAACATTAAGAACAGTTTCTTATTTACAATGTTGGCCTGAGAGTGCAAAAAACTATTAATTCTTATCTGTGACTCATTTTATAATCTTATCTATTATGACCAGTAGCATATAACAATAGCTTTATTTTGATGTAACGTGGTAAAGTAAGCATAAAGTATATCACTGAAGAAAAAATAGTTCTTGAGCAAAAATAGTTACTTCAGGATCATTTGAACTTTTCTATCWATATAAGGTTTAGACATTTCAATAGCTAACTGCTATATATTTTAATTTTCTTAATTTAAATCAGGAGTCCAGCATATTCTACCTGTTTGATGATATTCTTGTTTAATAAACTATTTAAGTAAAACTGTCTGAAGAACTCTACAGACTTCGTGGTAAATAAGGCATTGTGTTCAGTAGTTAATTAGTGATCYTTACACTGTTTGACTATGAAAAGGAAGTGAATGTTTCAAAGAAAGTGGTTGTACAAATGTTTAAATAGTAGCAAATATAGGAATACTTGTCCTATCACAAGAGTGCATTCTTTAAATTACTCAATTATTAACCAAGAATAGGCCTTATTGTTTCCACAATGAGTGACGACAGCTGAGTGATAGTTTGTTTTGTAAAGCAGATTTTATTTCAGAAACAGAAAATGTACAAAGACATACACTTCACATCATACATTTGAACTTGTGGTTATTTTTTAAACAACAGAAAGTATCAGAGGGTGTACCCCCCCACTTAAAATCATAATAAAATGTACAACAGTGACATGGAAAGACTTTAAAAGAATTTCACATTTTAATTGTCCTCTTGTGATATAGCTCAGTCCGCGTGGAATAAAAACATGCAACTTTGTTTCCTCTCCGATCACGATGAGGCCAGTCATAGCTCTGTTTGTGAAATGGAGAAAAAAGTCCCGATACTTTCAGCTATTCATCTAGAACCCTGAAATAACTGAGATATCACATTAAACAAGAGAGGACCTGGTTTCTGTGAATGCGAATGATAAAAAAGAGGAATTTTCACTTTGAACGTATCAGTTTAAATGTCTTGATGTGGATGTTATGAGAACATTATAAGCATTAAAATAACATTTTCTGTTTCAGTCTTGGTATCATCAGGTAAGAAATTAAGAAAAAGTATTTTGAATCATAGCGTTACAGATATTGCATCGTCATCCCATCACCTTTGTTTTCATTTTATTATTACACAATGTTGTTCTATGCGCAGATCTAAAAGCAGTTTTAAAACATCAGCAAGTCTCCGAAGTTTTTTCTAAATCAACGATTATCCATGTCACAATTTTTATWGTTTACAGTCGTTATTTTAGACTTCATTCTATTTGCAAAAGCATCAATGAACAGTTTAAAAATCATTGGGTGTAGTATCTTCAAACATTTTATTGCAGATTCTCCTTCAAAACAAGGCAAGTTTGAATCAGACAAAGTACAACATAAATATTTTTAATAAAAACAGTCCCCTCTGTTCATCTGAAACATGTAATCACATTTCTGCCTTTAATAAAAGGCTTGGTTTACATACAATTTTATAAAATCACATAGTCATATATTCAGAAATGTTTATTTGATAAAAAAAAGAAGACCAAAAACCAATTAGTTGAGGTTTAAAATGCAATGTAACACATTTTAAACGAACATAAAAAATAAATAAATAAATAAAAGAAGCAATTTCCGGTGAACCAAAGACATTCCTCAAGTTTCAACGTTTTTACTATATGCTTGAGAAACCAGTACCATGCCAAAAGAACTGAGCCCATAGATGACACCTGGAGATGCCACCATCTATGGAATTCAGTTCTCATAGTAGAGCACTTATTAAATAAAACGAGGTTCTTAGAAGCGTCTTGATCCTTGGGTGTCAAAAAGTTTTGAACTCATATCTCAGGGTTAATGTTCTGCCTATTTATTGAAAATAAACTTTGAATACTAACAACTACAACATAATGACACAAAACAATTACACCAAGTTCAGCAAGAAAAGAAAAGAAAAGAAAAAGAGTTGCGCTTAGTTGCTGTAACTTGTGTTGTCAYCCATTTCTTAAGAAATTCAAAGTGATGATCAGATAACGTCAGCTTTACTTTTCCAGTGTAAGATTGAGCAAGAGACCCTCRTGGTGACGGAACAACTATTAATCACTCTGACAGTAAAAAAAATACTTACAAAGTCAAATCATCAACATTTTACTTCAACATATTGGAAGGTATTTAAGTAAAATCAAAGTAAAACCTCTTTAAAAAAAACAGGATTGAATGAATTAGTTTCTCTGTTTAAACAGAGCATTGAAACTTTGAGGAACCCAAAACATCTTTTAGACTTGAGCAATCCTAGAAAAACTTTACCGCCACTGAAATGAGTGTCCACCAGGTTGGTTCAAGCAATCAGGGCTCCCCACTCAAAGGGTGAAATGACTCATCAGTTATGGTCCTGCGCTGCCAGTAAAGGACATGTGATTACTGACACAGTTTGGTAAATGTGTTTTTAACCCTGACAGCATGAGTTGGATATTAACTAGACTGCACTGCATTACACACATTCCCTAACTGCCATTTGAAAAAAAAAGAAGAAAAAAAAACAAACAAAACAAAAAAACCTACCTAATTCAAGGCCTGGAGTCGATTTTTACTGTSACAGTTGAGAYACTTCTTCTATGTTATCTTAATGACTTTGGTTTATTCATTAAAACCTGTGCTCTGCTAAAGAGAAACCATTCGATAGACTTGAGAGTCACACCTAAATATGTTCAGGAAACTCTAAACGGTCTGGCAGTTGAACTTGGAAGCAACCGGTTCTGCGACCTGCGACGTGACAGATAATATTCTTTGAAGACATCAGCGAAGTCTTAAAGCTACCACAAACTTTTGTTTAAAGATCAAATTGTTTAGCAAATTAAATACCGTTCTCTTGATATTAAAAAAATGAACGGTGGAAGTTGGTTTCTAATTTAGGAACTCAGTTTAAAACATCTAAACGTYTTGCCCTTAGAGATTTCTACAGATCGACATACCTGAGTTTTTCACTGAAGACTTTTTGTTCCAGATCCAGGATTCATCAGAAACAAACCTCCCCATTAAAGACAGATTTGTTTTAAACTCTTAACAGCTTTAAACACACTTCAATAGTCCTCGTCAAGWGTTAAAATGTTCAACAAGCACCAATTCACCTGCATGATCTGCTACCCCATGGCCTCCAGATCCTAAAGGATGCAGCACAGTAATGAGCTGATATAGAGGCACCTTTCCACATCACATCAACCTCCCTCCCCTGTTTTTTATACACTCCCCTCTGTACGGTAAGCCTGACAGTCACTTCCCAGTAAGAAGGAAGCAGTGGGAGTGAACAAGCACGCCCCCTCAGAGTGAATCAACACATAATAGTTTCTGAGGAAAACCATCTGACATGCCCTGCCCCCCCCGTTCCCATAAAGCAAGCAGGGGAAAGGCTACGTCTACCAGAGAAACCAGGAATTCCCCTGGAGGCCACAAACAGCTGTCGAGATGAGACAATGACGAAGCTGGAAGTTTGCCCGGGCTGTTTTTTTTTTTTTTTTTTTTGCTAACAGAAACCATGTTGGCTGTATTTCACGCTCTTATGAGTGAAACAGCATTTAATACCACAATTATGAGTGCATAATAAGAATTGGGAAGGTCTGTTCACACTCGTGGGCGTGAAAACACATCATCACGTTTGATCTGCTGCGTGTTCATTTCCTAAATGGTTTTGATGGTTAATTTTMTTTATCAGCAGGGCGGCGTGGCGCTCTCTTGCGTCATGGGAATGTTTCAGATCAGTTCCGAGCTATGTGAATATTATACTCAGCTGGGTTGTAGTCACAAAATCACTACCTAATCACACTTTGTAGCAAGGATGTTCTAATGCTGTCTCATAGTCCTAGTGTTTGTCGGCCGACCTGTAAAAACCAACTGATTTCCCCATTTGTGTACCTGCTAACCTTTAGTACAAAAAACTAGTTCAGACTTGATGCATTCTTCCTCTGAAAAATCCCTGTTAGAAATGTTCAGTGGATTTCCTTGTTCTGAGAGAAATGGGGAATCCAGGTGGCGTTGGAAAAATAACGTAGTTCCTTGCTCTAACCCTTTCCAGGATGTATACACGACTAAATACGACAAAACATTTTGTTTGGAACGGGGCCCCATCAAGATTATGTAACSAGCAGAATAAGAGGTACAGAGACCCCACAGAATCCCACTATTGATGTGCAGTGACACTAGAATCCACTTTCCAAACGGCATCCTTAGGCTAGTGGGATAAGTTGCAATTGACATTTCAYGTTGGACTGCAGAAACAAGCCCGGCTTTCATGCCGGCGTTTGAACATGGGGGGAATAACACTCGTAAAGGTCACTGAGCCCATTTCCTTTCTGTCCTCCCCATGCATCTAAAGACCTGCAACAGACCCTTTTAACAGCACTTCAGTTCCTGGCATATTCAAATTTCGATATAGGAAGCAAATAATTAAAAAAAACAACAACAGAGTAGGCGATGAATGAGCAAAGACGATTTGAATTTATTACAGTTTTTCCTTGTTTTAGGATTTCAACAATTTAGTTTTATATGCTGCATGAATAAACAATCAGATTTAATGTGATGGTTCACCAATGAATCAGTTTCAAAAGTCCCAGATGGTCCTTAATCAGGTGTCCTTTGGCTTTTTGAAACGTAGCTCTACTACATGTCTCTGGAGACCGTCTTCTCCATCCCACAGGTGATCCAGAGAGAAAACCCCCCTCTGCTCCAGAAATGTTTCAAACAGATGCAGCCCACCTCCGACACCAAAGTAGTGCGATTTGGTCGCGAGGTAGACCCGACCATCAGGCGCCAGCAGTTTCTGGAGGGTCTCATGCAGAGCAGGGTAGTACTCAGTGTTGTAGATAGTCTCTGAGGTGAATATTATGTCAAATTTGGRCTGTGGTACAGTTTTGAGAACCAACGGATGAAAAGTTCTCCAGTCACCAGAGAAGAAATGACACCTCCTGAGTAACGGGTGGGAAAAGTCCATGGCTCTTTTCTTAGAAGGTGGATGGTCATTTTTTTCTTTCTTTTCACAATCCTCTGTCATCTGATTTTTCCCCTTGCCCTTCCCTTTTTGGTCATCGTCACTGTCCGTCTCAACGTCCTCTTGGAGGTTTAGCAATACATTTGGAACTGTAAGCTGTTCAATGACTGTACCGTTGTAATCTTGAAAGCAAACCTGCCTAGCTTCTCTCTTCAGAGCCAGAATTCCCAACAGACCCGCTCCGCAGCCCAAATCCAAAACTGCCCTCCCACTAAACGTCTCTCCCTCTTTCTCAATCAGCTCCAGAAGGTCATAAGTGCACTCCCACACCTTCAGGCCTCCTTCGTACACACCGGAGATGAGGTCAGACTTCTGCTTTGCACTGTGAGACAGAATATTCTCCTCATCCTCTCTCTCTGAGGCTGTCCTTTCAAAGACGGTCTCATTAAGGAAGTGGAGAGGAGGAAGGGTTCCAACGGTAACGGTTTCAAAAACAGCATTTGTAAGGAGGAACTGTGGGTCAGAYGGTGGAAGGTGCTCTTTGGCCTCTTTTACCAGCCCAGCTGTTTTGGTACTGTTTTCTATCTGAAAAACAAAAAAATACAAATGGTTAGGGTTAGGTACGGAAAGGGTTTAAAAAGCTTCCAATAACTTGGTTAAAATTTATAATGACTCCATACTTTAGTTGACAAATCAACAAAATAACCCAAACTTGAGAACAACCTAGATCAGTGATTCCCAGCCAGGGGTATGTGTACCCCTTGGGGTTCGCGAGCATTTTACAGGCCGTAGGTGGATAAATTTCTCAGGTGTGTAAAAAAATAGATAAAAATAGGACTGGGATATGTAGGGCCATTTGATTTCCACAATGCAGAAAATGCAGATGGAATCACGGAATTGACACAAAATGGAATCCAKTATAAAACACAGAATCTCATGGAATTTGATAATTTTGGGCGAGYTTCTGATTTTCACAAAGGGGTTCTTTTCTGATTTTGGATGCTGCTGGTTCCTTCACCTGACATTACCTGGTTTRTTTATTTAATTACTTACTCACTTTTAAAGGCAACATTTTTATCTTTATTTAACTTGAGTTGAAAAGAATAACACGCCTGAGAATTTCACGTTCTAGGGAGTTAAATAAATAATTTTCATTTCATTTTCATACATTTCATTCAATTGTAGTACATTATAGTTTAGCAGAATCATCATTACGTTTGTCTGAGTGGGTACTAGTGGTATGACAAAATGGCTCAGGTCTAAAAAGGCTGGGAACCACTGACTTAGATGTTCTAACAAGTAAGCAAGCTACTTAATTTATAAATATTCTTTAGTTTTATTATTCTTCCACCTGTGTAGGTTTTTTTCCCTTTTATTATTAACCCATCGACTACAAAGTTAGTTGGCTGGTTGTTGTTTTWTTCAAACATGAAACTGTTGCACATCTGCCATGTGATTCACAATGATCTAAACACTGTTACCAAATGTCACACCCACAATCAGCACTCACACAACAAAAACAACCTCCACAGTTCATTCTTAGTACCGGTAATTTTACTTGTAGGTCTTTGGCTGACAAGCAAAAAACATGATGATGAACTGACGCTCTCTAGTGGAAGGACACCAAACTTAAGCACTTGACTWTTATYTATCTTAGCTTTATTGTCTTTCTTMTTCTGACTTATGGAGAGAGATTTCATTTAAACAGTACAGCTTGTATATGTAGTGTTAGAAAACTGACTAATTATTTGGATTACATAAAAAGGTCACTATTTAGGGTGCAGTTCTCATATGAAGAAGTAAGTAATTTTGTAAACAGTGGCATTAGTTATTAAAATTTTGATTAAACTCTGCATGAAGATGCGCTTGTCTTTTCAGGTTGACAGTTTTGTTAATGACAAAAAATAATTATAAAATAAAATAAAACAAAGACATTTGCTGTTGTCAATTTAACGCAAATTAATATAGTTTTTTAAAGGCAGTATGTGTAAAGTACCTTAGGTTTTGTGCTCTTTTGAACTCAGATGAAGTTTGCATCGTATTTATTTTTAATAAGTCAATTGTGCATGAAAGATAAGTGTGTTAAGTGTGATGTATGTGTGGTTACAATATTTTAAACTAAATATAATTTAAAAAGATATTTATACTTATTTTAAAATTCAAAATAATCCAAATATTCTCGGTTTGCATTTGTTCTGATCCCACAAATTAAATAAAACTTGTAYTGTATTTTAGATTTACTGACTGAAATTAAAACTGTGTTAAAGAAATGTTTATTACAATTATTTCTAAATTTGCTTAACTGCTTGGAAGTCTTGTTTATTCTTATGTTATTAAAAAGTTGTATCAAGTTACTTATCACTTGACTCATTTTGTCATTGTAGCTTATAGTTTTGAAATGAATTTTTAATAATTTATTTAAGTTAAAAGAAAAAGATTCAAGAGTTGACATGGGATGGTTTCTTGAGGTATTTCTTTTTCGTGTGGCTAACCTGCTGTTAGTTTGAAAAGACTGGTTATAAAGTTTTTTTTTTTATTCTCGTATTTACGATATTAAGGCTGAGAAGATCAACGTCAAAGCAAAAGACAGCCTACGTAAATGGTAACTTCTTGATTATTTGGAGCTACTTACACACTTRGCATCATTATCTTTCTTTCCGTTTTGATGTTTATTTCCAGCCTCTTCGTCGTGGGTTGTTGTTTGTGCTGGAAGGTCAAARTTAAAACAAAACGACATGATGACTGATACCACCCAACAGAGCTAGCTTGAGGTTGGTAGGTTCCACATGTTGACCTCGCTAGCGTAGCATATATTTGTGGAAGAACTACAAATCCCACAATTCTGAAAAACACCTCACGACCCATTTTTATGTTTGTTTGGCGATTTAGCACAGTCATTAAAATTTATTTTGAGTCTACCTTAAGTTTACAAGATTTCGATAAGAAAACGGTATGCATAAAATCTATTTTGGGGAAGAAAAGAAGCCCTAGTTGTAATAAATCAGTTTAATTTCTGACTCAGACTACCATGATGCATCACAGTTTTTGGCGCATGCGCAGTAACGCTAGCTCGGTATTCAGATCTTTTGACTACAGGTCTCCAGCTCCTCTCAAAACACACAGGATGAATAATCCCGTTTTGCCGTCATTTTGAAAATGTTGACACTACTGGATATCCCGGCGGATTTATCGTCAGCGTAGACCAGTGAGTATTATCAATTAAATTCAAAATATTATTTCATGACACCAGCCGCAGCACTGTTTGTCTACCTGTGCTGAGCGTGTGACATCAGGACAAAAAGGGATTTAGGAGTGTTATGTTTCAGTAAATCTGCTAACAAACGTGACTCACGAACACTTCAACTGTTTTGCTGCGTTTTTTGGGGGGTGACTTTATAGMTGCGTTGTAGTTGTCTTTGGTTAGCCTTTAACTGACCGTTTTARGTGTGCGAAAATAGTGCTGCGGGATTTGCGAGTGAACGCAAAAGAAAAAGAAAACCCCCCCATGTCCCTTCGCGGGCTCCGTACTGTCCACTGCTGTGGCAAGAGCCTCCACCCTGTCCGGAATGCAGCAAAACAAGCAGAAGTRTCAACAAGTAATGAAGTACAAATACTTAGTTTTACTTTAAGTAGAGAATTTGGTTATCTGTACTTTACTTGAGTAATAATTTTTCAACCAACATTATATCTGTTATGAAGATGACTTTAGCAGAGATATAATATAATGTGTCTGAAACAGGTAAACTAGCATTTCCCATCATTAACATTTAAATTTAACATTATAATAATTATGGTCTTTAGAGGGATGAGTTTGTGCACTATAAACTCCTGTKGCCCAGCCTGAGCTTTTGTCCCTAATGTTTTTTTTCCCCTTTACATTGCTTTTACTTTATATTATACTTTAAGTAATTTTAAAACCAACACTTTTACATTTGAGTAAAAAGCCTGAGTTGATACTTCAACTTCTACAGAAGCATTAATATCTATACTTGAGTAATGGCTCAGAGCCAACGAAGTTCAACCCATGCCAGGTTTGAAAATATGCTCCTGGAACAAAAATCCAAGCATAGTTTTGGTGTCCTTGAGGAAGAAATTTCCCYTCACCTGACGCAAAGTAAAAGTAGAAAAGAATAACCTCGGGGTTTGGATTGTTTGTGACATGCATTGTTAGCCTTTTTTATTTTTATGTATCCTAATTGATGCTGGTAACCTTTTTMTGTGCAACTCGTTTTAGATTTCGCAAAATACCCGTGGAACAAGATCACCCATGTGTCTCTGTATTTTTCCCGCAGTTACYGTCGTTCTGCAGATGCAGGATGAGGTGCTCTGCGCTCCACCTGTTGCGCTGTGTGCGCTTACAGTTGGGTAGCAGGCTAAAAAGGAACAGACTGCCCCTGTGCGTCCGGAGAATATGGGCCTACGTGAAACTGCTGGTTCGCTCGCTTTGCTTCAATTCCCTCACAGACTCCGATGTGGTTTTTGACTCTGTTTTTGAACCAGTGTTTGTGACGGTGGATTATGTCACCCGCTGGTTTGGCTTGGTGAGTTTGGGTTTATTTGCAAACTATGAAGTCAGACTCAAAATATCCTGGATTAAAAAAAAATGATCCTGAATTATATGAAATGGTACATAGTGTTAGAAGGAGTTTACTCCAGTAGTTTTCCATCTGTATTGATAAAAATATCGGAAAATTTTATTTATAAATAATTGTGTTTTTTTCTTTCTTTTTGCTGTAAGGTTTTTGTTTGTCTGGTGGTGATACTGACCAGCTCCATTTTGGCGGTAGCCTATACTGTGTTACTGCCGATGGCCTTGAACACTTACTCTCCAGCGTGGATTGCTTGGCATCTTTGTTACGGACACTGGAACCTCATCATGATCGCTTTTCATTACTACAAAGCTGCCAAGACGTCCCCTGGATATCCCCCAACGGTAAGAGAACAAGTAGCAGATTTACTTTGTTGCTTGTTTTTTTAAAATTTAACCATGCAAAAAAAAATTTTTTTCATTTCAGGAAAAAAATGACAGGCCATTTGTGTCGGTCTGTAAAAAGTGCATCATGCCCAAACCAGCAAGAACCCACCACTGTGGTATCTGTAACAGGTGGGTCAGTGTAGTTTCTCTTCTGCTCTGTTTATTTTTTAAATTAGTTTCTTTCTATTTTTTATCATTCAGGTTAAAATTTATTTGTTTTGTCTTTGCAGATGCATTCTAAAAATGGATCATCATTGTCGTATCTTTTGCACATTAAATAGCTTGTTTGCATAATGAACTCATGAAATGTGATTTGTATCTTTACAAAATAACACATTGCCAGTTCTCCTTAACATYAGCACCTCAGCCTGGTTGAATAACTGCGTGGGTCATTTTAACCATCGGTACTTCTTCTCTTTTTGCCTCTTCATGACCCTGGGCTGTGTCTACTGCAGCATCAGTGGCAGAAACCAGTTCCTGGATGCGTACAACGCTCTTGAGGTGAGATAGTTGGTCAGCTTGTGGCTGTGTCGCTATCTTTAATTCTCCTGCAACGGTGGTACTTTTTATTTTTTCCCACGGAGCTCATTTTGTACTGGCACTGCTCTGTTTCTGTCTTTTATTCTTGGGCTTGCGGGCTGCTCCTGCAGCGTTTTAAGCATTTGGATTCGGAAAAGCCGGGGATGCCGGTAAAAGGGATGGGACTTCTTATTGGGCTTCTCCCATCTGGGCAGGTAGCTTCACTTAGAACACTTCAATTAAATCTGTTTGTGTGCTATAATATATGCTTTTGTTTTTTTGTTTTTTTATCAAGACCAACTTTCAGACACCTGCGCCTCCATACACCTTTAAAGAAAAGATGATTCATAAGAGTATGATCTACATGTGGGTRCTCACCAGGTAAAAACGGTCATTTCAATTATCTGCCACACCTAGAAACCTCCCACATAGCAACACCTGTTATTAATTTGTTCTACAGAAGAATACAAAGTTTGTAAGCAGTGTTTTTACATAGAAAAACGCCACAGTTTTATTTYGGCTCAGGAGTTTTGCTGCTTATTTTACTGTAAATGTTCATCTTTTTAGATCTTTTCTTATGTAGACAATAATGTACTACAATGGCCGTTCGTTTTTCCTCCTGAAAACTCCAGATGGAGTGGCTTAACAGAACTACAAAAGGTTTGTTTACATTGATGGATTGGCAGTCACCCAGAAAAAAATGTGCTTTCTCCTTGTAGCACAGTGGGTGTGGCCCTGGGAGCTCTAACCATTTGGCACGCAGTTCTCATATCCAGAGGCGAGACCAGCATTGAAAAACACATCAATAGGAAGGAAATGAAGCGAATGATGGTCAGATGGGGGAAGGTGAGCATTGAGATGAAGAAAAAGTGCTGTTAATAATAATAAAGAAAATCCAAATCTAGTTCTGCATCAGTACCAGAGTTCATCTCTTCTAATCTTGACTACGTGCAGTAGACCAAAAAAATTTTTTTTAGTTTTTTTTCTTTTGTCTTCTAACATTAGGACATACTGTATTTTACTGAACAGACACACCTTTAAAAATCTGTTCAGTACATACTAACAACTTTATTACATTTTTTAATTGCTCCTTTTCTTTTTGAATTTGTTTTTGCCAGGTTTACAAAAACCCATTCAATTACGGCAGGCTGAACAACTGGAAAATCTTCTTAGGGGTGGAGAAAAGAAGGTGTGTTTCTGTGATGTTTGCACTGATTTTTTTTTTTTTGCAGGAACTCATGCATCCTTTGTAACAAAAGTTGCCTTGTTCTTTTTGTAATGTGCACCTCTTTTTTTGTGTTTGTGTGTAGCCACTGGGTGACACGTGTCCTGCTTCCCTCTGGACACCCACCACTCGGTGACGGTTTGACGTGGGACTTCTTTCCAGTTAAAACTGATTTGATACCTGTATGACAGACTGATCAGACCAAACCTTGTAGCCTGATTGCGTAATTACCAACTTTATCTGGTTGGGTCAATGGATTCTTCCTTGGCGGCTCCATATTTTTGAAGACGCTGAGTAACATCACCTTTTAATACCTCAAGAACTCYAGTCTCAGCTCTGCAGAACATATATAAACCTAGTTTTCAGAAAGATCAAGTTTTTTTAATGGTTTGCTTCCTGCTGGGTATGACTTTCCCTTGCAAGCTGGCTTTACTGAACCCGCAGCATTATGGCGTCATAACT